GGGTTCCTTTGAGCCAGAGGCTACGGTTGCCTGCCCTTCTCTCTGTCGCGCCGAACGCTCAGTGCCTCCCCTCCCGCGTCTACCACTACGGCCCGATTGGGAGGGGGGGGCATTCCGCTTGCAAGTCGGCTGCGCCGAATGGCACGGCGCCCGGGAAAGCCCTCGAGAGGCGCGGCTGCAATGACACCATCCCGATGAGACACTATTTCCAAACTTGATACATGTGAAAGCCCCTTGCGGGCCTTGAGACCGTCAAAGCGCACTCCGTGATGGAACAAGTTTGTCAGGATGGACCCGGTTTTGAGGCGTGTGAGGGCTGTCCAGGGAGGGGGGCAGGAGAGAAATGGAAGAGAGAGAGGAAGAGAGGGAGGAAAAGGGTGATGGCGGGGGTCAGGAAAAGCAGGAAGAGGAGGAGGGATGACGGAGGGAAAGTGGGAGAAAAAAAGACGTGGAGTGGGAGGGGAAGGAGTGGGAGCACAGGAGTAGGACCTCTGTAAACCAAGACTGACCAACGATATTGCAGTAAATCCTCCCTACAAGATCCCTCTGCGAAAGAGCCTACCTACAAGGATTCATTCTCCCTGAGGGAAATGCCCCGATGGAAAACAACCATTTGAACATCCTGAACTGCGCCAGACCAACATTCCTGGGGCTTCCAAGCCGCGAAAACAGTGACTGTTGCGTCTTGGCGATCCTGAATCGCGCCAGAACATCATTCCTGGGACTTCAGCACCACGAATCAACGTAACTGTTGCGCCTCGAAAATCCGACTCCGTGCCACAACACCCGACCTGGGACATGCGAAACTGATGTAAACTCTTAAAAATAAATATACGCGACGCTAAAGCGAGAAACACACATTGAAAACGCACCGCCCTCCATCCGTGAAACTCCTGCACATCTTCAAGACGAATGTGCGCGGTGCTCATGCTAGAACCAAACTTTGAAAACAGCCTGCCCCTGATATTTGAAACGCTCGTACGTTTTAGAAACGAATGCACGTGGCGCCAAGGCGAGAACTTCACTTTAAAAAACCACCCGCCCTCAATCCGCAAAACTGTTGCGATTGTTGTTTAACGAATGTGTGCGGCGCTAAGGCGAGAGCCACATTTCGAAAACGACCCGCCCTCCATCAGTGAAACTGGCGCACATTTAAAGCTTCAGGATCGTAAAATGGTTAGGAAGTCTCAGGCAAAACGTTCGGCCCGCCTCTCGGGGTGCGACATGGAGGAGTTATGTATAAGGGAAGGGAGTGTAAGCGGAGGAGCAAGATAAGCAGGAGGAAGGATTATGAAGGGAGGGGAGAGAAGGGGGCTGTCAGCGTCCCCCCGGCGACCACTTCGGCAGCTGCTGCAGGAACACCCGGAAGTGCTGCTCGTGGTCCTCTTCGGGAAGAGAAGCGGCGACATATTGGGTCCACAAGCGGGCACGCGCTTTCCTGGGCTTGCGCGAGTCCAACTCAGCCAAGGCCAGGCCGCGAGCCTGGGCTGGCCACATGGCGGGGGAGCCGCTCCCACGCGGCCCGCAGTCCCAGGGCCGCCAGATGGGGATCGCAGGGGATTGGCTGACCACCCGGCTGGCGCTGATCACAATCAAACAGGCGCGTGCGCTGCAGCGCAAGACGGAACGGAGGGCCCCTGCCTCGACCGCACGGCTGCCAGAGCCCCCTGCAGGGGGCGACCTCTCTCCAGATGCAGGCGATCGTTTCGAAAAGAAGATGGAGAACGAGGGGGCGTTCCGCAACTCCAGGGGGGTGACGACAACGGGCTCCGAGTCCGAGGGCCGGGCCGAAAGGGTTGCCGAGAGCGCGGTCTGCGCCCCTCTCGGAGCAGCGGGAGGGGCATCCAGCGAGGAGGCCCGTCTCCCGACTGCTCTTTGGGTGGGCCCCCCCTGGCCTACAACAGAAGGCTTCCTACGCTCAGATGGAGAGGGGAGGGAAACAGGAGGAGGCGGAGGAGGAGGAGCAGGACATGCAGGACGAGGAACGATCATACACGAGACAATCGAGTGATAAGAACACCAAGCGAAGAGCAAGGGTGATAAGAACCGCCGAAGAGGAGGGGAGGGGGGAGGGGGTGATAGAGAAGGGGTCGGATATGGACAGACAGAAGGGAAGATGGGGAGGTGGAGGACTAAGGAGGAACGAGGAGAACGGCGACAATGCTGAAGGAAGCGTTAAGTTGCTTTGGAAAGGGTTGAGGCGACTGTGGGGAACTCTGGGGGAATCTTCCAGTTCGAGGACACTACATGACAGGCTCCGTCCGAATCGCTGTGCATCGCTCTCCTCCTCTTCCTTCGTTCCATGCCTGCCTACCGTTTCTATTCCGTGTATATATATACACACATATATATACATTTGTATATATATATATATATATATATATACATATATATATATATATATATATATATATATATATATATATATATATATATATATAACGGACCCTCGTCGCACCGCCAGAATTGCCAATAAGGCCCGCCAGGCGTTTCGCCTGAAACCTCGTCAGGGTGAGGGGGCCGAGCGGTCATTCCTTGTCCCTGGGTGCGAGGCTGAAATGGGGATCCGCGGTGAGGATTATGCTTGTTGCGCTGTTAAGCTCTCATTTCTGACGCATAAATACTGATCGCTGCTCCCCCCATCACCGGTGCATGCAGTTTTCCTCCATCAAAATGTGCCCCTCGACGCTCGCACCCTGTTTTTTGACTGGGGAAATCTTGATGCTCAAACCGCGCCCCTGGCCCCCGGCTCACAACAACAAAAGCTCCCGCCTGAGACATCCCCACAATTTAGCCCAGACCCCCCGCTCCCGCCCGAGACTTCGTTGCAATTTATTCAGGAATCGTCGCGTTGGAAATTCATATAAATTGCTGAAGCGCCGCGCTCCCGACACCTATGCACCCAAAGGTTGCGCCCTCCGTGGCCCCATGTGCATGCCCTTCGTGGCCCCGCTGTCGCCGTTTGTGGCCTACGTGGCCCAGTTGCTACCCTCAGTGACCCCATCGTTGCCTTCTGTGGCACAGCACTATCTGCCCTTAGTGGCCCCCGCTCGTTCGCGCTCTGAGTAGCCCTATACGCATTCCCTTCGTGTCCCCGCTGTCGCCCTTCGTGGCCTACTTCGTGTCCTTCGTGGCCCGACTGTCGTTCTCTCTCGCTCTCGCTTTCGCTCGTCGTCGCCGTCGTCGTCGTCGTCGCCGTCGCCGTCGCCGTCGCCGTCGTCGTCGTCGTGGTCGTGGTCGTGGTCGTGGTCGTCGTCGTCGTCGTCGTCGTCGTCGTCGTCGTCGTCGTCGTCGTCGTCGTCGTGGTCGGTCCCCTGTCCGTCCCTCTTGGGGTCGGGTCGACGGTCCGCGGCCGCCCCGCCGATCAGCGCTGCCGCTGGCCAGGCCGACGGTCCGCGGCCGCCCCGCCGCTTGCCGGGGCCCGGCCTGCAGGGAAGACAAGTGTACCCCCCAAAAGGGGTTCGATCGAAGACGAAAAGGGCGGGTATCGAGGTTTTGGAAATACGCGTTATTGGACACTCGAGCAGATAAGGTCGAACAGTCTTAAAATGATTGTTGTTGTTGTCGTCGTCCCCCCCGCGATCCAGCCGACTCATCCGCGACCAACCTACGACCCACCCGCGACCCACACGCGACCCGCCCGCGACCCACGCGCGACCCACCCGCGACCCGGCCAGCGACCCACCCACAACCCCTTCGCGACCCACCCCGCAACCCGCCCCGACCCGCGACCCGCCCGCGACCCGGCCCGCGACCCACCCGCGACCCGGCCCGCGACCCACCCGCGACCCACCCGCGACCCACCCGCGACCCGGCCCGCGACCCACCCGCGACCCACCCGCGACCCACCCGCGACCCACCCGCGACCCACCCCGCGACGCACCAACATCGACTTATCAAAAAAATGGGCGCTTGCGGCGGGGTCGTTGTATAAATTGTGAGATGTTGGCGCCTGCGGCGGGCTTTTTCAGAGCCTCGCAGACGGCCGACGTCCCCGCCGCCACCTCACTCTTATCCGCAACTGCGGGGTGCTACGTAACCTTTCATGACCCTGCAGCTTGTCGCTTTCAAAAGCCACGCGAATGGATAACCGTATGTTATGCGATTGCGGTTGTCGCCCGAACGCCTCGTACATCCGTGATACAAGTCTTCCCACAATTAATGGAGGTCACACCGTTTTCAACATGTGGCTCCCATCCTAGCGCCGAGATCCGAGAACGTTTGCCTTCCATGCATCGAACAGTTGCACGGATCGAGGGCGGCCCCTGTCCCAAATATTTAGGGCTCTCGCTCGAGACTTCCGCCGCTCATGCGGATGAAATGCGGCTCCTTTTGGAAAGGGGGCTCTCGCGTGGGACTTTTGCAACCTAGATCCCCCAGGAGCCTCCCGAAAAGCCCCACGCCGCGTGCGAACCGGCCGCGGAACCCGACACATCCTCCAAACCCGACGGTTCTCGGACATCTCGCGATTGAGAACGGTCCGATATTGTCTCGATCCTGCCTTCGTCTTGGAGGGCTCTGGAGGCCTCGGCGACCCGCCGGGAGGGTCGAGGTGGGGTCGAGTTTCGAGGTGCTCTTGTCGGAGCGCTTTGGAACGCTCTGGACCGATTTACCCAGACCTCTGGCCGCTCCAATTGTTTCGATGCGTGGGCCGGGAAGGTCCGGCGAATGCCCCTGGAGGCCGAAGACAGCCCCAAACCGCCCGCCCCAGCTTGTGGGAGAGCGACGGCGTCGGATCTCTGGGTCTCTCGATCCGAGGCCGGCCCGACCCTCCGAAGCACTCCGGGGCCCCCCGAAGGCCTCCACAGCCAGCCTCCGGAGGGGCCCTCCGAGGCCCTCCGAGGCCCCTCGGAGCCCTCGGAGGCCCCAAGGGGCATCCGGCGGAGGCCCTCGGGGCCCCCGAGGGGTCCCGAGGGGCCTCGGGGAGGGCCTCCGCGGAGGCCTCCGGTGGGGCCGCGCGCGCGCGCGGGCGCGCCTCGCAGGCCTCCTCGGCGGGCCCCTCCGCCAGCGCGCTCGGCGGGCCGCCGGGCTGCGGCGTGCCGCCCTGCCGCGGCGGGGCCGCGGCGGCCGCGGCGTCGCCGGTGCGGCCTGGGGGGGGGCTCGAAGGTCGCTCGGCGAGGGGACTGGCCATCGCTCGGACTGAAGGGGCCCCAGGACACACAAATAAATACACACAAATAAAATAGTTCCCCATATTTTCCTATATTTCCCCCCACTTCCCATATTTTCCTATATTTTCTGGGGATCGACGATTAATTGTATCTGTGTGTTTTTTCCCCTCCTGGCGGACGTCCACTCCCTGTGCTTTTCTCGGTTTCGCGCGTGGCTTTTTCGCCAAATGATCAAGGATGCTCCTCGACGGCCGTCGCCGGAGGAGAAACGCACACGTCCGAGCGGCGCCAAGGCGAAGGTCGCTCGGTGAGGGGACTGGCGGCAGTCGGAACGGGGCCAGAAAAGCATCCTTCAAGAACACGAGACCCTCCGTCGGCCAAAAGGCACAGAACATCCAAGGGTACCCCGCCCGGGATGCTCAAGAGCATCCAGCAAGCACGAAGAACACGAGTGTACCCTCCTCGAAGCGACCTCGAACTTCTACCACGGTCCGATTGTACTTTTTTGCGCTGGGCGAACTTCGAGCGAAGCTCGTGGTGTCGGGACTGGCTCCTTCTCCTCCTCCTCCTCCTCCTCCTCCTCCTCGCCTCTTGCTCCGACTCCACTGTGAGTGAATCTTCATCGGGTAAGACGAAGCCAGGACGAGGATAAAGTCTGGTGAGGATAAATCGAGAATCTCTGAGATCTGGCGGCTCTGCAGGATGTCTCGGGCGCCGCGGCCTCCTCGGAGCGTTCCAGAACGCCTGGAACGGATTTATCATCTTTCTAGCCACGTCCGACTTTTTGCTCCTGCTTCTACGTGGGTGAAGCTTCATAAGGGAGGCTCTGTGGACCTCCGCGACCCTATCCTGAACATGGTTTCGACCGGATTCCGTCCAGATTTCGACCACCCCGCTTCACCCTTTCGTCCAAATTTCGTCCAGATTTTCGCCCAAATGTCGAGCAAATCCGACGAGATCCGGACGAAACCCACAAACGCGCAAGGAATTGTGGGATCCGCTGACACTCCTACGAAGGACCACACGGCTCCTCTCAGAAGCCAGGCGAAGGCTGGCAAATACGTGGCTTCTAAAATGGAGCTCCGGGTAATTGCCTTTTCTTTTTCGGGAAGCAGCCCGTTACTATTTCGCGCGCACAGTGTTCTTCGGGGAATGTTATGTTTCTTCCGGGAGACCGTTTCGGCAGCCACGGATTTGCCGGTCCTCGCCCAGCTTCCGATCCTCCCAGCACGCAACAGTGGGACTGGATAGGAAGGCACTAACTATACACCAACACCGATCCTGGCCAGGATCACCCTGGGCCCAGGATCGGTGCATACGCCCTCCTGCCTTGCGCAAGAAGGCATATACACCGATCCTGGGCCCAGGGTGATCCTGGGCCAGGATCGGTGTTGGTGTATAGTTGGTGCCCTCCGACTGGAGGGGCTGCCCTGGCGGGGCCGGGGAGCCCCCCTCCCCAGTTTGCACCCACGCGCGTGGCTCCCCTCGGGCAGGCGTGGCGCGGCGGCTGGCGAACAGAGCGCACGTGGCCGAGGGGCGCTCGGCGAGGGGGAAAGGCCCCTGGCCTCCCAGAAGCTTTCGTAATAAAGGGAGGGGGGTCTCATTTCGGGGGGGTCCCTTCCAGGCTATCTTGGAGGGCCTGGGGGGGTCTGGGGACGATGTTTTGGAGGGTTCTCCCACGGGGGGGGGTCTAAAACTTCTCGTCTGGGAGGGTTGAGACCCCCTCCCTTTTATTACGAAATCTGGAGTACAAAGAGTCCTCCAGACCTGGAGACCTATCTGGACTGTCTGAAACCTCGACTGGAGTTCGAGCTGAAAGGTCCTGGTGGCACTCAGGAGCGCTCCTGGGAGGTCAGGGATCCGGGGGGCTGGCTCCCGAGGGAGGAACATCGACCTGAATCGGCGATACATCGCCGATCGATTGGCGGTAGTTCCCCGATAGTGGCCCCGTGCGCTTCTGGGCAGGATGGGCGGGGGAATATCGATCGACTTGGCATCGGCGATGCAAGGTCGATAGATCGGCGGCAAGTCCCCGATAGCGGCTCCGCGCGTTTCTGGGCAGGGAGGGTGGGCTGGTAGGCTCCGATCGGCGATCAATGGGCGACTCAGCGTCGCGGGTCGCCCGATCGGCGGGCGGGTCGGCGTCAAAGGGCGGGAGGCCCATAGGCAGTCGAAGGAAACTCGGGGGTCGGGGGTTCTGGGGTGGAGCGCCGTGCTGCGGTGGCCGGGTGGAGGTCTTGGCCGCGTCGCGGGGAGGAGGAGCGCATGTTCTTACTCGCAGCCGTAACGGGCGTTATGGGGGGAGCGGGGGAGGGGCATAACCCTGTGCCCCCGAAATGAATGCCCCTGGGATGATAAACATCGGGGCTCGGGAAGTAGTAGTAGTAGTAGTAGTCGTCGTCGTCGTCGTCGTCGTCGTCGTCGTCGTCGTCGTCGTCGTCGTCGTAGTAGTAGTAGTAGTAGTAGTAGTAGAAGTAGAAGAAGAAGAAGAAGTAGAAGTAGTATAAGTAGTAGTAGTAGTAGTAGCAGCAGTAGTAAAAGTAGTCGTTGTAGTAGTAGTAGTAGTAGCAGCAGCAGCAGCAGTAGTAGTAGTAGTAGAAGTAGTAGTAGTCGTCGTAGTAGTAGTAGTAGTAGTAGTCGTCGTCGTCGTAGTATTAGTAATAGTAGTAGCAGTAGTAGTAGTAGTAGTAGCAGTAGTAGTAGTAGTAGTAGTAGTAGTAGTCGTGGTAGTAGTAGTAGTAGTAGTAACAGTAGTAGTAGTAGTAGCAGTAGTCGTAGTAGTAGTAACAGTAATAGTAGTCGTTGTAGTATTAGTAGTAGTAGCAGCAGCAGCAGTAGTAGTAGTAGTAGTAGTCGTAGTAGTAGTAGAAATAGTAGTAGTCGTCGTCATAGTAGTAGTAGTCGTAGTCGTAGTCGTAGTAGTAGTAGTAGTAGTAGTAGTAGTAGTAGTAGTAGTCGTAGTAGTAGTAGTAGTCGTAGTAGTAGTAGTAGTAGTAGTAGTAGTAGTAGTAGTAGTAGTAGTAGTAGTAGTAGTAGCAGCAGTAGTAGTAGTAGTAGTAATAGTAGTGATAGTAGTAGTCGTACTACTACTAGCCGTAGTAGTCGTCCTAGTAGTAGTAGTAGTAGTAGTAGTAGTAGTAGTAGTAGTAGTAGCAATATTGGTAGTAATAATCCTAGTCGTAGTAGTAGTAATAGTAGTAGTAGTAGTGGTAGTAGTAGTAGTAGTAGTAGTAGTAGTAGTAGTAGTAGTAGTAGTAGTAATCGTAGTAGTAGTAGTAGTAGTAGTAGTAGTAGTAGTAGTAGTCGTAGTAGTAGTAGTAGTCGTAGTCGTTAGTGTAGTAGTAGTAGTAGTAGTAGTAGTCGTCGTCGTCGTCGTAGTCGGGGTAGTAGTAGTAGTAGTGTAGTAGTAGTAGTCGTAGTAATAGTAGTAGTAGTAGTAGTAATACTAGTGGTAGTAGTAGTAGTAGTAGTAGTAGTAGTAGTAATAGTAGTAGTAGTAGTAGTAGTAGTAGTAGTAGTAGTGGTAGTAGTAGTAGTAGTAGTAGTAGTAGTAGTAGAAGTGATAGTAGTACTAGTAGTAGTAGTAGTAGTAGTAGTAGTAGTAGTAGTAGTAGTAGTAGTAGTAGTAGTCGTAGTAGTAGTAGTAGTACTAGTGGTAGTCGTAGGTATTGGCAGCAGTAGTAAGAGTATTAGCATTGGTAGTAGTAGAAGTAGTAGTGTTAGAAGTAGTGGTAGTAGTGGTAGTAGTGGTAGTAGTGGTAGCAGTGGCTGTGCGTTCCCCTGCAGGGGGCACTTCCTCCTCCGCCTCGTACTCCTCGTCGTCCGCCTCCTCCTCCTCTTCTCTTGATTCGTTGGCTCAGTCCGTGCCGCCTGGACCCAGATGGCACCAGGCCATCTGTTACATCGGGCCGCCGTGCTCTTCACGGTAGCGACTCGAGGAACCTGGGCCCACCAACGGGGTCAAGGCGCCCCAAAGACCATGTTACCTCGAGTCCTCCGCGCCCTCCCCTTCCCCCTGCCCAATCCCCCTTCCTTATCCGCCGACCCCCGCTTTCTTTGGGTGAGAAGAGAAAAGGACAGGAATGACGCTTGATTGGCTGTCCTCCCTCCCCCGTTGCCACCTCCCCTGGGTCCGACATCCCGTCAGGGAGCCTCTGTGGCATCGCTTTCCCTGAGCGATCCCAGCGTTCGCCCGTGGCTAGGGCCCTGGCCTGGCCCCATGAAGCCGAGCTTCTTCACCACTTCGCTGAAGGCCGCTCTTTTTCAAGCTTGTGAGACCATCCTCCTGCTCCTCCTCATGCCCCTGCCCGCTGCTTATCCTCATGTTCCTGCTCCTGCTGCTGCTGCTGCTGCTGCTGCTCCTCCTCCTCCTCCTCCTCATCCCTCCCCCTCCTCCTCCCCCTCCTCCTCCTCCTCCTCCTCCTCTGAGGAGCAACGATAAGGGGGGGACTGGCATAGGGGGATGCATCGACCTGGAATCGGCGATACATCGTCGATAGATCGGAGAAAGGCCCCCGATAGTGAATCCGAACGTTCCTGTGCAGGTTGGGGTTATCGGGCCCCTATCGGCGATCAATGGGCGATTGGGGGTCGATGCATCCCCCCCTATGCCTATCCCCCCCCAATCGTTGCCCGTGGTCCTCCTCCTCCTCCTCCTCCTCCTCCTCCTCCTCCTCCTCCTCTGGCTGTCCACACCCTGTTCCCCCCTCCCTCCCTCCCTGCCTGCCTCCTCCGCGTTCCGTGTCCCTATCGCCCCTCCCCTCCCCATCCCTCCCCCCCCTCCCTCCCCAGCATGGAGGAGCTGGTCCCGCGTGGGAGGCGGAGGGTGTGGCGACAGGGAGGCTCGCGGCGGGGACCCCCGCACGAGGCCACAAGCAGACAAGCGCCCGAAGAGGCGGCACGCCTCGGTTGACTGGTGCGCGGGCGACGTCATGGAGGCCACCCGAAAGGGCATAAACATAAACTGTTGACACTCCGCTCGGACTTCTTGGATCTGAGCTGGACCCCCGCCTGGCGCGCGGAGCGCGCCAAGGGCGGCACCGGAGGCGCCGCCAGGGGGCCCAGCGCAGATCCCAGAAATCCGCGCGGAGCGCCGAAAGTCTATGTTTATGTAGTTTCTTCTTCTTCGACAAATGGGGTCGAGACGAAGGTGGGGCTGGTGGATCCCGCCGCATCGCCGATGCGCCGGCGCCGTCGGCGTGGATGGAGTCGGGGCCCACATCGAGCCGCACCGCCGATGCATCTGCGATGCGGCGAGATGCCCACTCTGCTTCGACCCCATCTGGGCGGCTTGGACGTCAGCTGACCACCTCACCGATCCTGGCCAAGCCCACCCTGAGCCCAGGAACGGTCCAGCCAGTGCAGGGAGGTGTAGACACGCGCGCCCGGGCCCAGGATCAATGCGGCCAGGATCGGTGAAGTGGTCAGTGGACGTCCCCCGACTGACCTGTGCGCAAATGATTAAATACATGCGCAGACATCCGACGTCGTTTGTTTCCGCGAGGCTCCCCAGAGGTCTGAAAATGTTCCGGGGGGCCAGCGTTTCATCCAGAGTGGTTTTCTGACGGTATCAAAAATTCCGGTGCTAAGGGCGCCCGTATGCAGGAAATTGCCAACGACCTGTTTCTTCTCGACGCGAGGGTGTCAAGCTGGCGCCGAGGCGGAGTCAGATTCCGTGCTCGGATGTCGCTCGAAGTGGCCCTGGCCCACGTGTCCACGGCTCTTCGGGCCACTTTGGAGCCCATTGGGGCCCTCTGTGACTTGTGAGGGCTGCTCTAGAAGCCACCTGGTCCGCGCCCAAATCCTGGAGGCACCTCGGGCCAGAGACAGCTCTGGCAGCACCCGGCGCGTGGTACACGGGCTCGCGCTGCGCCGCGAGGCGCGGCCCTCCCTCGCACTCCGGCGCCACCCTCGGGAAGAGCAGCGTCCTTCTGGCACCGACCGCGCCGCGCGAAGCACGGCCATATATTTCCGCGCAGCCCTGCTGCTGATCCAGCCCTGCCCGCCGCGTGCTGTTCTGGGGTTCCCCCTCAAGACCCGTGGCAAAAGAGGTCCGCATCGAATCGCGAAGCGGGATCGCAATCGAAATCGAGCCGAATTTGCAACAACCGGCGCCCAACGCGGACCAAAATATGTTCGGGAATCGAAAAGCAGCGATCGAACCGGAATCATATCGGAAAATGTTGTCGGAGTCGGATCGACGTCGAATCGGTTGGGGGCCGCGTCGAGACGGATCGGGTCGGAACCCCTCGAACCCCCTCGGACGCGTTCCCCCCTCGCGACGGCGCGGGGCCGCCGCCGGGGAAACCGGGTTCCCGCGGGAACCACCCCACCAACACTCTACCAACCGCACCCGCCCTTGGGCCCCCTTGGGCCCCCTTGGACCCCTTCGGGCCCCCCCTGGGCCCCCTCTGGGCCCCCTGGGGCCCCGTTGGGCGAGGAGGAGGAGGAGGAGGAGGAGGAGGAAGAAGAAGAGGAGGAAGAGGAGGAGGAGGAGGAGGAAGAGGAGGAGGGGGAGGCAACAGGAGGAGGAAAAAGACGAGGAGGAGGAGGAGGAAAAGGAGGAGGAGGAGGAGAAAAAGGAGTAGGAGAAAGAGGAGGAGGAGGAGGAGGAGGAGGAGGAGGAGGAGGAGAGGAGGAGAAGGACGAGGAGGAGGAGGTGGAGGCGGAAGAGGAGGAGGAGGAAGGGGGGGCCGGGCCCCCTGGGAGCCCCCTGGGCCCGCTTGGGCGAGGAGGAGGAGGAGGAGGAGGAGGAGGAGGAGGAGGATGAGGGGGAGGAGGAGGAGGACGAAGAGGCAGGAGGAGGAGGAGGAGAAGGAGGAGGAGGAGCAGGAGGAAGAGGAGGAGGAACAAGAGGAAATGAGAGTTAAGCCCCCTTAGGCCCCCTTGGGCGAGGAAGGGCCCAGCGTGTCCGGCAGGGTTCGTCAGCCACTACGTGAGCCAGCTGCTCGCACAATAAGATTGGGGCACGGGGAGAGACGGCGGGCCTGTATCCGACCTGGACGAGGTGAAAAGAGATGAGGCGGCGGCGTCAGAGCACATGAGCGGCGGCGAGGACAGCTCGGGCGAGAGGAGGGGAGGCGAGACAGCAGAGGGCAGCAGCAGGGAGGACTCGAAGGACGGGGCGGGGGGGGAACGACGTGAGCGGCAGCAGGGGCGGCAGTCATCAGAAAGAGAGAGAGAGAGAGAGAGAGCACGGGCGCCTGCCCGTAGAAATCGAGCGTGCGGATAGCCGTCGCTTCAAACAAAGAGGCACAAAGATGCGGATATGGAATACGGGTGGCGGGAGACGAGGAGGGGCAGAAACCGCGAAGATGAGTCGACTCCCGCAGCAGCCGACTCTCGCTTGGCCAAGTCCCCGAGGGCGCACACACACACACACACACACACACACACACACACACACCCGAACCATTAGACGCAAGGGGCCTGACCTCAGTAGGTGCCAGGTGGGACGGGCGCGGGGGGACAGGGCCAGCGGCGGCGCGTGCAGAGCAAGCACCAGAGGCGGTGCCAGACGGAGTGGCGGGATAGGCGCGGGGAGGGACGGTCGAAAAGATCGACGGGCAGGAACTGCACGCCGAGAAGAGCGGAATGGACGGGATACACGGCACAGGCGCACTCGCGCACGCCTCCGCGCCCCCTGGCTCCGAGATAATCGAATCCACCAACGTCGCGGCAATCGGACTTGGCCACGACGACGCGCGTCTCGTGGCAATGGGAGCTGCAGGCGACCCCGAGGACGGAGCCGATGGCGCCCAAAGTCGGGCGGGGGCGACAGGTCCAGCAGTTCCTCCGACATGCGGCGACGGCGAGCCCGAACACGACAACGGGACTCGCGATCTAACGCCACCAGAGGGGGGGTCCTCCTCGAGGCATCCGACACATGGCGACGTAGAGCCCGAACACGACAACGGGACTTGCGATCTAACGCCAAAGCCCAGAGGGCACGAGACGAGGCATCCAATGCGCGGCGACTGCGAGCCCGAACACGACAACGGGACTTGCGTGCTAACGCATGCAGGAGATGGCGAGGAGGCGGCAGGTGGCGACGACGCGCCCGAACGCGACAAAAGGACTTGCGTTCTAACGCCAGTCTCATAGACGGAGAGACGGGGAGAGACGCGACCAGCAGGTGGCGACTCAGAGCACGCACGCCAAGGCGGGCCTGGCGCCCTGACGCCAACTGCACAAGAGGACGACGGCGCAAGATAAGCACAACAACCACTACTAGAAGCCGACGACAAGGCCGTAAAGCAGTCGAGGACGAAGATGAGCTCCGCGATCTGGCCGCTGACCCCCCCCCCCCCGCGACAAGTGCACTGGAGGTGCTCGAGGCCGAAGATGAGGAGGTCGAAGAAGGGCGTCTCGGTCTGAGAGGCAGCGGGGCCAGGAGGGCGCGCTCCTTCACGGAGAGCCGCCGCGGCGTGGCGAGACGCATCGGTCGGGCACCCGCCGGCGCAGCAGAGGGAATCGCAGGCAGCGAGAGCGGCCACTCTGCGGAGCGCCGCACAACGTTGCACATCGAATGGGCGGCCGTCATCCGTGAGAAAGCGAGCAGGGTGGAATGCCGCAGTCCACACTTAACCATAGGGTCACGCGGTAACCATCACCCGAGCGCGGTCTCAAGTGCGGCGTGGAGTCGGGGGCAACGAAGATAATGTGCAAGCGCGTCACGATGTGCTGGGAGCCGAATGCACGGCACCTCTTCCCACGTGGGCGCAATATCCGCGAGGAGGTGAGCCAGCCGTCGCACCAGGCGCGGAACGCAGCCCGTGCCCGAGAGCAAGGGCAACGCCTGGTGAGCGAGCCGACGTCACCCCACTCAATCGCGTTGATCGGCTCGGCCCTCGCACGCGCAAGTTAGAAGGGGCGCCGTCGGAGATGGTCACGCAGAGGGGCCACGTTGCCAGTGAGTTCACGCATCGCCCGATGCGCAGCTCCCCGAGGACGAGGGCGCCCAATGGGAGCCTGGGCGAGAGCATCGCAGGCGGCAGGGCGAGCGCAGGCAAGCAGGCTCGCCCACGGCCCAGGCGGCGGGCACCCGGCCGCAGCAGCATGCAAGTTCTCCACCAGTGCGGGGAGGCGCCAGTGGGTTGGGTAGCACCGTCCAGAGCTGAGCATCATGGGCGACTGGTCCTCGACGTGCTCCTCCGCATGCGACTGCATGCTGGGCAGGATCTCGCTGTGCTGAGGGGGGGGTTACCAGCGCCGCGCGCAGCATCGAAGCCGCGTTGAGATGGGGCC